CTAAATCATATACGTATCAGAAATAAGAGATACAATTTTTTACATTACTGCAGAAATAAGTCGTATCACGAGGTAGTTGAGATCTTATTTAACGTAACACTTTAAACCAGTATTTCCCAAATTTAGGGCTAAAGATCTGATACTTTCATGACAAACTATTTGTACTCTGAATTTTACATATATCTTTTTCTTTCCATAGCAAACGTATATTTAGCTCTTAAATTTTGAATAACGATTTTTAGTCTTAGTTTAGAAAACATGATTACGGAGAAAAGAAAGGGAGAATTTAAATATTCGTACGACAATAACAGCACGGAATTTGGACATACTCTGGCTTGAATAAACATTTCCTTTTTACCTTTAACAAATTAATATAGACTGTCGTGACTATTAATGGTCAATTATCTAGTGTCTACGTTTAAACTTCGGTTGTCCGTGATTTTAATAGATATTTTTTTTTTTAAGCATCCTCAACAAATATCAGCCCGCACGCAAATGCGATCGTTGGTTTTCGATTCAGTTTCCTACTGATTTCCTCTGTACTACATAACGTGTGTTCTCTCCTCGAGACTCGCGAGTGGCTCGCAAGAAGAATATCGAGAGTCATATTCATTCCAAACGATCTTCCTTATCGAAATAATAAAGTGCAATTTATCTTGAAAATTTATTATATATTACATTGTATCTCCATCGACGCTAATTATGATATTTAATCAGTATTTATTTGCACCGTCCACTGAATTATCATCGATATTATACAACTAATTTCCAGAAGAGTTGACATTGCTTTTAAAGCAAACTCGGATAACAATATAAGCAAATTTTCTCGGTTGCCGCGTTCGTTAGAATTTTTTTTTTTTAGTTTTCCCCTTCTTTCATTTACTAAATTTATACAGTTCGTTTGCGTATTATTTTTAATTTACACATGTATGTGTATATCTTAAATACAATATGCAATGGACCAATGATAGGATTGGTATCTTATTCATCTCCAATCTCAAGAATTAAATCCGCCCCTAACTATGTATTATAATAATAATAATAATAATAATAATAATAATAATAATAATAATAATATCTCGTATCATATTTTCAATAGAAGTCGATATGCCTAATTTAAGAGGCATTCTTTATGTTGCTTCAACATCGTAAATTTATGAAATATATGTACATCGTACATGTAACTGGGCGACTGTCGAAACAAGGGGGAAAGTTTTATAATTACGTCGGTCGACATTGTACGCGACATAATCGGCACACGGTATCAACAAATGAATAAGATACATTAACCATCAATACTCCAAATGCTCACATAGTTTTGTATTCATTTTTCACAATTTTGATTACCTAATTTTTATATGTACATACGTAGATAAAATCATGGAGTCGAGAAACAATCCTCTCGTTTGACTTTGTGCAATGTTCAACGGCCGATGCAATAAATGATAAGTGCACGTTGCTTTAGAAACTGAAGCTGTAAATCAAAATGTTGTATATAATTTTAATCTTAATATAGACGATAAAACATTCGTTCGTTAAAAATCAAGAGCTTCATCTCGTGTCCACTTATTCTTACGTAAAGTAAGTATATAAGGTATATCGCTGTATTATTGCAATGTATAAAAACAAATACGCGCCTCGATACCTTCGTACAATATACATCGTAATGAAATGTTTCTTACAAATCCCTCTTCTTAATATTGACACAAATTTCTATTCCCAATAATACATATTTTGACACAAAATATAAACTATAAACTAGATTATAATATGTATACGAATTTCGATTTGGTAAAGTGTAAATCATAATATGTCTATGTCTCAGTAAATATACACTTTGTCCATAATCTTTGAAAAAATAGATAATACATAGATAAATTCATTCAG